TTTTCATTCTTTGTGTAGGAAAGGATTTAATTGAAAGAAATCCTACTTTTTAGAAGTAAATTGAAGAGATCAGAGACTTGAGGATCAACTTGTGCAGAATCCAGAAGTCAGGAACCAAATCTGCTATTTTACCATTGAAGAAATTGCAAAAGGAAACTAGAAACCCGATACGGGTGTAGTGTCGACACATAACCGGGGTGTCGACACCATGCGTTAAACGTTCAAAATCAGATTCTGTTTCCTATTTTGTGTCAACAATTAATCCGAAGTGTCAGCACCACGCGATCAGCATCTAAAATTTAGTTTCCTATTTCTGTTCCAAGTCCTACTTCTATTTTAATTAGGGTTTCTAAAATCCTATAAATACCCATCCAAATTCAGAATTAAGAGAGTTTTGGAGAGGCTGGTGGCAGTCCTCTTTTGGGCATTCTTGGAGGTCAAGATAGAGGATTCAACAATAGGAGATCAAGGATTGCAATTTTCTCAAATTAGGTTTTATTCTTCCTTGTTCATAACTATAATTGTAGATTTTATTATTTTTATTGTGAACTGATTTATTTTATTAAGGCTATGATGTAGCCTAATCAATTCAATATAGATTTTGTGATTTTATACTTTCAATTAAAGTTATTCGCGTGAGGCGTTTATATTATTGAACTTAATGCATTGGAAGTTTGATCACCTTTCAATTGATTTAGTCATTTATGCATGAACTTGAGAAAGAATTGCGTAGATTAGACCAATAATAATATAAACCGTGTGCTAAACTATGAGATCGAGAGGTAATTAGCTCACATGTGGTAGTGGAGGAAGAGAAGAGAGTTAGGAGCTCCCCCTTCTTAAGCTAGAGGTTTCTATAAAATTTAATGCTCATTAGTTGGTTCAAAATTACATAGAGATATGATTAATTTAACAAACTAGTGAAGGATTAAGTTGATTTGAGAAAGCTAGTTAATTAATTTAGGGAAATCCATCATCACATGCAATAACACTCAATAAATTGGTGAAGTCAATGCCTTAGTATTTCATATCTTGGCTAGTTTTAGTTTAATTGTTAGTTTCTTTTTGTATTTTAATTAAAATTTCATCTTTTTGATTGTTCAAATAAATTTAGATTAATTATTTTGGTACTTAGTTAGACACAATCCTCGTGGATTCGACACTCTCTCATCATTATATTACTTGAAGCGACTAGTACACTTGTTAGGGTGATTTTAGTGCATCATGAAGATTGGGCTTGTTATAAGTTGGCCCACCATGATTGTTGCGAGTTGGCTGACTAGATTGGGAGATGCGCCCAACAAAGGGTGTTAGAAGGAAACCGGATGATGTCGTCGAAGACGTGGAAGAAGCACCTGCAGGGAAACTGTGAGTGGGAAAAGTAGCATAATGAGCACTCACCGAAACAGATTCAAGTTTAATTTCCTCTCTGTGAAGACTCTCTTCGTGAGCAACTAGTTGGTCGTGTAGATCATCGAAGGAAAGAGAGGAATCACGAGTCCTGAGAGAGGCAACAATTTCATGAAATTTAGGACCCAATCTATTCAGAATGTAGATGGTCAAGTCATCATCAGTGAGGGGTCTATCCACTGTGCCAAGCTCATCTACAACAACTTTGAGGGAGCGCAAATAATCAAAGATCGATCGTCCATCATGCCTTATGTTCTACAACCGTTCCTTGAGTTTGATGACTCTAGTTCAAGACCTGTTGGCATAGAGATGGGCCAACATTTCCCACGCTTGTTGAGCAATGGGTGTTTCAGTAATGTAAGGCATGATATTCTTTGAGACGGGGTGATTAAAGCATGGCGTAAAAGCTTATCTTGTCGGGCCCAAAGGCTATAATCTGGCTTTGTAGCCACAGGACAAGGAAGAGTCCCATCTAGGTAACCAAGCAATTCATACCCAGCAAGGTGACTAGTGAATTGGGTTTTCCAAGAGAGATAATTTGTGGGAGCTAGCTTCAAGGGAAAAGCAATGAGATTAAAGGATATGGGTCCACGGGTAGCTTGGTTGATGATGGTGGCTGCAGAGTTAGGGTTGCTGGTGGTATCACCAGAGGTTGGGGAGGAATCACCAGAGGCAGAGGCTGTGGAGGTTTTGGCCATTGGGAAACTCGTTAGAGAGGATGCTCTAATACCAATGTAAAATATCAGAAGAAGGTAAAGAAAGCTTGATGTTTATTTAACTAATATTTGCAAGTATATATACAGAGTAGTTTTGCCGTATACCCTAACATAAAAGGCAAATACATAAATTCAGAAATCTAAGATACAGATACACTCAATAATATATACACTTTAATGAGAAAGATTATATTCCTTAATACTCATCACATGCCAATTAGACTTGTAGGTAAGGGTAAAATAGACAACGTCTCTCAAGGGGCTCTTTTTTTTTTTTCTCTCTCTTTTTTGGAACATAAAGGAATTCTAGAGAGAGGGGATTGGTTTAACAAAGACTAGAATTAACCAAGGTCTTGGAGCTGGTGAAATTGCCTATCCAACGCAGCTAGTTCTGCCCGTACTTGACATAAATATGTTATTATCATATTTTCATATTCATATTTAAAAATCAAAGGTTGTAGCCTTGTTTAAAATCACTAAGAGTCAGATCAAGAAGCTGCGAGCCTGCTATCTGCATCTCTTTTCAAAAGCATGGAATCAAAGGCAGTATCCTGGGGAAATTCCCTCCCTGTTCCTTGTGTCCAAGAGCTGGCCAAAGAGCCCTTAACAACAATCCCACGAAGATACATCCGTCCAGACCAACAACAACAACCGATTGTTTCCGATGCAGGTTTGCTGTGGGAAATCCCAGTCATTGATATGCAGAGCTTGCTTTGTGAAGAATCAACGGAAGCTGAATTAACCAAACTCGACTTTGCTTGTAGAGAATGGGGGTTCTTCCAGGTATGTCTTTATATATATATATATATATATATATACCATACTAGGTAGGGAAAACGAGAGACTTGTTACTTTTTGGCAAAGCGATCGCTACAAGGGGTAAGGTTGAGTACCACTGCGCTGCTAGAGACCTCTTTTGGGCTGCCTTTACCATATATAGATTTATTCAGATCTAAATTCTAGAGGTATAGGAGTAACACTTTTAGAGTAATTAGCTAAATTATTGGTACAAAAATGCTTCCTTATCAATATGGCCAAAGTTTAAATCCTCCCTTCTCCCTCAAGAGGATTTCAACAAATTTGCCCGTTATATAAAAAACAAAAAAATCTAGATCTATATATAAATAAAAAATTACTCTTATTTGGATCTACATTTTTTAGATTTTTGTACTTATGACAAAGGTCTCTGATCAAACATCCATGAACCTCAGTTTTAGGTAAATAACTATCTTATTATTAGTTGTTGACATGACCCGAATCGTAAACTTAACCCTCAATTGTGGTTGGTTTCCATTGAACATCTTGCAATACATTACACAAACTGTTTTCTATCAGTATTTATTTATTTTACTTTAAGAGTCCAGTGTTTTGCAATCATTGTACTAGATTACAAGACGATAAATACATCCTTTCCTAATATTAGGGTTTTTTTTTTTAATCTAATGATTAGTATTTTACTATTTAAATTATAAAACATTTTTTCTTACTTTAAATACCTCTCAGGATTTTATTTTTAAATTGATTGTTAATTTTTTTTTAAAAAAAAATCAGTAGCTTATTTTCAATTCATGACTTAAGATTGTGATTTATCAATTTTATTAAATTACTGCAGCTGGTAAATCATGGAGTAAGCTCTTCCATGTTGGAGAATGTAAAGAAAGGGGTTCAGGGTTTCTTTAATCTTCCAATGGAAGAAAAGAAAAAATATTGGCAGCACCCAGGAGAAATAGAAGGATTTGGGCAGGCCTTTGTTGTATCGGAGGAGCAAGAGCTTGATTGGGCTGATCTCTTCTGGATTATAACCCAACCACCCCATT